CTGATCTTTTGAAGGTACTTCACCAAATTTTAATATCTGCCAGATCTGAAAAAAAGTAGAGGGAGGGCATGACAATAAGTTTAGGAAAACGAACGTTTTGGTCTAAACTAGGATCAGGCTTTGAAAAACTTGTTTGCACGTCCCCACGAAGACGGGGACGTGCAAAGGACGAATACCCCTGTTGTTGAAGATTATAAATCAATAAATTTTTAAAAGTTATCATCACATGAAAGTAAAATACAGACACATAGATGAAATGGAAAGTCAGTTACAAATTAGTGTTTTGTTCAGATGCCTTTATAGAGACAAAAAGGTATTCCCTGGTCCGTGTGAGGATCGAACTCACGACCTTGGCGTTATCAGCACCACGCTCTACCGACTGAGCTAACGGACCTTGCACACGAGAAATGGTAGATGGTAAACAATTGACAATCTGGAGGTTGGAATACTTACCAATGCGAGTTGGTAAGGAAAGTTTTCTATATGCTTGTGCAGACACAGCAGATGACCTGAGGTCATGATTTGGAATGAAATCTTTTCTGCATCCACCACCATCCATGAACACTTTTTGCGTTTCCGCAGCAAAATCTAGGAGTTTCATATCACTTTGTGAACCTCTATGTCGCGATTATTTGCCGAGATGAAATATATTTGCACATAGATGAAATTGAAAGTCAGTTACAAATTAGTGTTTTGTTCAGATGGCTTTATAGACACAAAAAAGTATAGAAAATTGTAAAATGATTTGTAGGGAAACAAATGAGTCTTAGAATGTTTTTAGATTATTTCATGGAAGCAACATGTAGTGTTCTTTGGTCCGTGTGAGGATCGAACTCACGACCTTGGCGTTATCAGCACCACGCTCTACCGACTGAGCTAACGGACCATGCACATGAGAAATCTTGAAAGGGCAAACAATTGAAAATCCGGGTATCGATCCCGGCACCTTCCTAGTTGTGCACCAACCCGCACGAAAGCGGATGTGAAAATCAGAGACTGAAACAACTCAACTAGAATCATTTCTAGATCGATCCTTCCGAGATGCCACAGAAGAAGTTTTAAGTAATCATTACTGTCTGAGTTCCGCACCACACAGAGTGTG